TATGAGAGTGAGGTCACGGGAAGATGAGAGTGGGACGGAACATGGTGACCAATCGCCATCCTGCTCAAGGTATAAGCGGTCCACCATGAGGTGGGAGTCCCTCGCGCTTGCCTTGTTCTCGCAAGCGCTCCAGGCTGGATTGAAAGCCAAGCCCGAGCCATATCTGTGTGGGGCGCAGACGCGCACTGCCATTGCAATTGTTTCTGCACTCAGACTCAGGAGCTTGGCTTAGCGGCAGTCGGCGGTTCGGTGGTGGGGGCAGTGGGGGTATCCTGCATTTGCTGGTGTGGCTGTCAGCTGCGGAACGGTGAACCATCCCCTAATCATAGAAGACGTGGTCATGGAGTCATCTCCCGACCTTATCCCTGGGCAGACCTTAGCGGTGTTCTACGAGGATGATACCCTCTGGCACGAGCGGCTCTTGCTGTGGAGGCTGAATGATGGCTGCTGGTTCGTGTTAACTCCTGACTTGGACATTTATGCTGAGGATGTTAGTGGCTCAGGTGTCGACGGTCCTAGTCGAGTCAAGGTCAAGGGCCAGGATTTCCGATACTGGTCCAGGGTTGGTGGGGCATCTTACCGATTTGCAGCACCTGTCGCCGATGATGCAAGCTTCCAGTCCTATGTGCGGAAGGCCCTAATCGAGGCCCGAAAAGAAGCAGATTTTGATGAGGACTGGCGGCCTACTCACTTTGTAGATACGAAGGGGGGTGGTCCAGGATGCTGCAGTTTTGGTTGATCACGTGACCCTGGTTCACAGGCTCAACTCCAAGGGCCCAGCTGTTCGACGTGGACAGGGGGGAGGGGTAGTGTCTCAGCCGGTGGTGGCTCATGATGATGATGATGACAGACGAGTTCAGGCTATTCTTCCTCCTAGCTCCACCCAGGCTTGGATCATCACTGAGAATATGGACAGTTATCGTGTGGGGGATCCTGCCTTGGTCAATCCCAGGCGAGACATCATGATTGGCTCCCACACTGGGCTCATCAAGACGGCCTCAGGTTGGGTAAAAGCTGAGCTCGTGGAGGCGGGGGGAGGCTGTGGACTTCACTGCGGGTCGCAGGGCCCTAGCACAACCTGCGGCTTCTCATGTTCCCCTTAGTTCGGCTGAGAAACCAGCCGGCGGCGCTGAAGAAACCTCCTCCGATGCCAGGACCTTGATGGTTGACTATGATCATCAGGGGGGTCCGCTACAAGGAGTGGCGTGCCGTGGTGAGCGAGTCCAGAGACTTCGCTTACGAGGACTGGCCGTGTGAAGGACCCGCCACCGTGTTGCATTTGTTGAAGCACATGTACAAGTATGGTGGTGACCCCAAACAATGGTTGGAGTTGTGGTGTAGACAAAAAGGAATAGCAGAACAGGACAGGGTCAAACATGAGTTGCGTTGCCTCATGGACATCCTTTACTTGGGGGGGTACCTATGACCAACTCAACATGCCCGTGCTTGCCTCCTTCGAGACAGCCTCACGTCGGGTCCAATGCATTGTGGACGCCTATGCCGCTGGAGGGGGGAGTACCTGATTGGGGAAATGCCAAACTGTTTACCGGTTACCAAACCCCTGAAGATTTGGTGATGCCGCAGCTGAGGACATGGGCTGCTCGTCGGGGGGAAGGAAGAAGTTGAGCTTTATCATGCACGACATCGTATGCGAGAGCTGAGGAAGCCGGGCAGCGCAGCAGAAGAGGCTGCAGCAGCTGTCGCAGATGGAAGTTTGCCGGCTGGTGGACCTGCTCCCAAACCCAAGCGCAGACCTCGGGGAAAGGGGCTGGATCCTCCAGCCGCCGCGACATGAACGAGCAGCTCGCCGGCTCCTGTGGCCCCTCAGGAGCCGGCTATGGTTCTTTTTCTGGGGCCAAGGGTGGTAATCTGCCACTTTCTGCATGCGGCCTTTTCCCTCTACCTCGTCCCCCTCGGCTTCATGTTCCAGGTGGGCTCAGCAGGCGTGCCAGTCAACGTCTGTCAAAAAAAGGCCAGAATTAGGGAAGAGCTGATTGAGACAATCTCAGCCCTGAATTGGATGCATGTTGGCGACTTTGATGCCGCACCTCTTGATTCATCGCCTCTCCAACGAGATGTATGCAGATACTTAGAGTCGAGAGTGTCGGCGGTGGGTGACCTGGATGGCCATGGTTGCTTACCTTCGCAGGAGGCAGCCCTCTTGGAGCTGCTCCGGGGTCAGGATGGCTATGCAGAGCCAGCGACCCCTGCTTCTCTAGCGCCCTTCAACCTCGAGCTCGTGTCTCTCCCTGAGGATCTTACCGGTGCTCCTTGTGCTGAAGATCTTTTGAATGAGGACGACCGTCGATACCTGGAGGTGCAAGAGCGTATGTTGCGGGATTCCCCCCAAGGAAGACGAAGTGGTTTGCTGCCCCTATTGGGATCCTGCCCTCAAGCATAATGCTAAGAACTATAGACGTTTCATCCAGAAGCTCAACTCAATTCAGTATTTGGAATTCACTCTCAATCCTTGTCAACATGCGGGGGTTTTCTTTGTCTGGAAGAGTGATAAGAAACGCATCCGGATGATCATTGATGCACGCCCTGCCAATGCCAGCTTCTATGACCCCCCCGGTATCTCTTTGCCTACAGCAGAGACTTTTGCTAAAGTGGAGGTGATTGGCAAGGAAGCTGGCGGGGTCGACGGGTTTGGCATCTATGCAGGGCTCTCAGACGTCAAAGATTGTTTCCATCGAATCAAACAACCTCGATGGCTGGCCAAACACTTCTGCCTCCTTCCCATTGAAGCGAGGCATGTGGGCTTGACGGGGCAGACCCTGGAAGGCCGTACCTTGAGCTCAAGTGATCTTGTTTACCCCATGCCAGGGTCCTTGTGTATGGGTTTCAGCTGGTCTTTGTTCTTCGCTCAGCGCATCAGCGAAGCTTTGATGGATCAGGTACCAGGCCTTTCACATTCCACCCGCATCCATGATCGAGGTGGGCCAGCAGTTTTCGACGCATTGCAGTCCCATGAGATAAAGCACTTTGTTTACGTGGACAACCTGGGGGTCATGTCTAGTGATCGACAAGCCGTGAGCCAGGAACTAGGGGAGCTCACGGACAAGTTCACGGACAAGAAGCTTTTGTTGCATCCAGGCGAGATTCAACATGAGCACATCAAAGCCCTCGGGGTTCAAATGGACGGGAAGTTGCTGAAGTCAACTCTGACACCGGACAGGTTCCATCGGGTGCGCCAAGGAGTACGTGGTCTTCTACGCCGAGGCAGGTGCACTGGCAAGGTGTTAGAGATTGTTATCGGGCACTGCACTTACTGTGGTCTTATGAATAGATGTCTACTTAGCACTTTCCATGCCTCCTACAAGTTCATCCGTAACTCCTACTATGAAGCTGCCCCTCTCTGGAACAGCGTCAAGGCGGAGCTGCGGGCCTTCAGCGGGCTCATGGCCCTCCTGGTGGCGGACTGGTCTAGGCCTTGGAACTCAGTGGTCACAGTGTCCGATGCCAGCGAAGAAGGGTTTGGCGTCTGCGCTGCCGCCTGGGAGCCTCAGGTTGCTGCTGAAGTGGGACGTGTCTCTGAGCGCGACAGGTTCCGAAGAGCCGGGGGGGCACAGTGCAAGAGAATCCGCACTCACCTCGGCGGGTTTTGTCAAAGATGAGGCCTCCGGCAAGTGGGCCGACGGTTTGCTCGAGGATGAGGAATACCTTAGACTCAGTGGTTGGGACCTCAAGCAAGACTTCCCAGAAGTTCCAGTCCATCAGCTCAAGTCTCAAGAATGGGCCACTGTGCGACAAGGTGCGTGGCGACGATCTGAGCACATCGTCCATCTTGAGGCCAGAGCCTTGGTGAAGTCCTTTGAGTTTTTGGTTCATGACACGGAGATCTCGCATTGTCGACAACTTTTTCTAGTGGATTCTATGAGCGCAAGTTTGTCTTTTGATCGATGCAGAAGCAAAAACTTCAGGATGTTGAGACAGATCCGAAAATTTTGCTCACTAGCTCTGGCCCGAAACGTTGCCTTCTCTGTGCGTTGGGTGCCCTCGGAACTCAACCCCGCTGATGGGCCAAGTAGAGATCAGTCGCAGGTGATATCGGTTTCAAAAGTTTTCGGAGTGCATCATGGCACCGAAGAGGTTGGCTGTGTTGGAACCAGGGGTTGTGACCAGAAGCCAGAAGAGGCGATGTCCTGTGCTAGAGCAGGGCTCAGAACTAGGGGACATGAAGAGGAAGAGGCAGAAGACTTTGCAGACTCCAAACTTGAGGGCTCAGCTGTTGACCTCCCCGAACTTTGTGCCGCCTACGTTGGAAAGCCTGAGCAAGCTCGAAATAGCGTCGGGCCGCCCAGCCCGGTTCGTGCGCGAAGAGAGCGACTCCTCGAGCAGCTCCAGCATGGAAAAGAAGGATACTCGTGCCAAGGTTCTTCAAAAGAGGAGTCGTCATCGGTTGAAAAAGTACGTGGACGAAGTCATGCAGGCCCAATCCTCGGGACTGAGCCTGTTGGAAAGAAAAGCAATTGGAGAGAGGACAGCCCTTTACTATGTGCAGGAATATCGGCAATTCCTCGTTTTTTTCCAAAAAGCGGAGGCTGCAGACGGTTGCAGCAACCGAGATGGATGCTGCCCTCACAGAGTACTTCAATGCGCTTTTCCTCCAAGGGCATCCAGCCCACCGAGGAAACAAGGTGATCGCCTCAGTAATGCACCATCGTCCAGAGTTCAGCCGGCAAGGCACCTGCAAATTGCCTCATGCTTGGAGAGCACTAAAGGGTTGGCGCAAGTTGGCGCCAGGCAGTTCAAGACAGGCCATGCCCCTGAGTGTGTGGGCAGCTTTTGCCTGCGAGATGAGACGCCTTGGTTTTTTTGCAGATGGCGGTCTTCACCATGCTTTGCCTGTCGTCTTACAGCCGCCCAGGCGAGCTGTTGAGATGCCGCGTGAGAAACCTTGTGAGGCCAACGCCCACCATCTCGGAGTTTTGGTGCCTCCTTCTCAACCCGGAAGAGAGACAGATTCCTTCGAAAGTGGGCGAGTTCGACGACAGCGTGGCATTGGACTCAGCTTTCCTGAAGCCATGGATTCACACACTGCTAAAGCAGTTGACAGATCGGAACCCCGACCTGCCTCTGTGGAACTTCGACTATGGCCATTACTCAAAGATTTTCTCCCAGATCAGCGACACCTTTGGTTTAGACATGACGCCTTACCAGATGAGGCACAGTGGACCAAGCATCGATCGGAGCCGCAACCACCGTTCGTTGCTCGAAGTGCAAAAGAGAGGCCGATGGAGCAGCTACAAGAGTGTGGCACGGTACGAGAAAAGTGCCAGGTTAGGGGCGAACTTCCAGCGGTTGCCAGTGCAGCTTCAGTACCATTGCCTCGTCTGCGAAAGACAGCTCGGGGAGGTGCTGCTCGGCCGGGCCCCAGTGCCCCGTCCACCTGCAAAGCCAAGGGTTTGAAAGGTCAGTACTTTGCTGATTTTTTCTCTGGGGAAGGAGGCGTGGCCAAAGCGGCTAGACGTTTGGGATATGCAGCTCGTGAGTGGGAACTTAGCAATGGTCCTTCTTATGACCTCACCTTGCCTCAAGTGCAGCGACGCATTAGACAGGACATCCAACAAGGATTGATTTTGGCAGCCATGTTGGCACCTCCATGTAGCAGTTTTTCAATTGCCAGAGATCGCACTTCAGTCATTCGCACAAAGCTTTTTCCTTGGGGCCTACCACGGGAGCAGTTGTCAGAAGCAGACTGGGTTCGGGTTCAAACTGGTAACAGGTGTTTCAAAGCTGCTTTGAAAATTATCTCTTGGTTGGACCAACATGGCATACCATGGATTTTTGAGAATCCGTTCACCTCCAAATGCTGGTACTTGCCGCCTTTGCAAAAGTTAGCTACTGCTGCGCATGTTCAGACAGTCGTCGTTGACTTCTGCTTTTACCAGACCTTGTGGCGCAAACGTACTCAGCTTCTGTGTGGAAACCTGGATTCTCAGGATGTGGCACGGCTACGCCATCTTTGCACGGGTCGTGGCCTTTGCTCCTTCTCTTGCAAGCCGCACTTTCAATTGACCGGCAGTAATCACCAAGGTACTCCATGGACTCGCATAGCACAACCTTATCCTCGAGGCCTGTGCCGAGATCTAGCTTTCTCTTTGACAAGCCCTACCCACTACTAAAAAACCACCCCTTTCTCTGGGAACATGCTGTTTTGGGGGCATGTCTTGGGATTTTGAGCAGCAAGAGCGTGGCCTATTTCATCGCCTTTATCTTC